ATAAAATCGGAACTCATACGTAGCATTTACAGGATATAACTTGATTTTTAAAATTAGCCAGATGACATAACGCTGCAAGCTACGCAGTAGATTCAAAAAATGCACGATTTTGATGTTTGTATTATGCAAAATAAGGATTAACCCGTGGGCAATGACGAAATTACACTCTAAAAATAATTGGCGTATTTACAAATGGAAACTATATGTCCAAAGGAAATAACCGACAAACCTATTTAATTTTCTGATTATGGAATTTTAAATTGAAAATGTGGTATGCAGTCAATTAAAACATGACTCAAGAAAATCACGTTTAAAATTTATTAGTGTTCTTTTCAATGACTCTGTCGCAAAGATCGACAAGCGTATTTCTAAAATCTAATTTTAGATTGCTTCTAATTACATACGCGCGTACACATTCAGCATCGGCAAAATTTTATTATGTAAATCGATACTACGTACAAATGTTAAATTACATAGTCGAATGCCTGCTTTATTCAGTAATATAATTTTGCAAAAAATGCCATAAACCGTGTTTTAATTAACCGCGCCCCATATGACTCACTTATTTCCAAAGTAAATTAATTCTGAAACTTCTGACTGTACATAATTTATATTTTTGCTCTATCGCGTATATTTTCAATGAGGTTTATTGTAAATAAGGTTTAAAATTTGGTTGACCAAGGATGGTAACGCTTATATGTCTTAATGTTTTGATCTGAATCCAAATATTTAATTTGCGCAAATTTATATGCCCAATTTGCCCAATTGTCAACACTATCGTGAACGAAAATCTCCATATAAAATCAACCAATGCACTTCGTATGCCAATTCAAAAAAATCATCGAGAATTTTACCCTTGACAGAAAATTCCGTGCTTGCATATCAAATATAGTAAAAGATCCAAAAAATTGCTTGTTTTCATAAGTTAATATAATCTTAAATTAAAAATGGTATTAAATTTGTCTGAAATATATGATGATACTATAATACCAGGAACGAAAATTGTAAAAAAAACGGAAGGGTTTCAATTGCTTACAAAAAAATTTGACCCAGATACTCTTCTTCTACATCAAGGATGTCTTAATGAAGCACTTGATAATTTAAATAAACAACTGAAAATGGAGCCTGATCATTGGCCCTCACTTAGTAATCGCGGGTTACTTCATTTATGGTTAGAAAAGTATGAAGAAGCAATCTTAGATCTTAATAGGTCACTGGAAATAAAACCAAATAATGCATATACATTATTATTTCGTGGGGAGACTTATTATAAATTAGATAAATATGAAGAAGCGCTTGTAGATCTCAACAGATCGCTGGCAATGGAACCAGACAAAACATATCAAGTTGAAATAATATTTCCCGGAAAAACAGAAACTGAAAGATTTGATAAAATTCAATTAGTGACTCGTGGCAAAATTTATTATAAGATGAATAAATATGAAGAAGCACTTTTAGATTTCAACAAGTCACTGGAAATAGAACCAAACGATACATATATTCGTGGTGAAATTTATAGTAAATTGGATTTGCTAGAAATAGAACCAAGAAATGCATATATATTAAGAATTCGTGGAGAAACTTATAGAAAATTGGGGAAATATGAAGATGCGCTTAATGATCTCAGTCAATCACTAGAAATAAAGCCAGATTCATATACATTAAGAATTCGTGGAGAAATTTATAAGAAATTAAATAAATACGATGATGCTCTTACAGACATCAGGAAATCACTAAAAATAGAACCAGACAACGAATATGCATTAATGATTTATGGAAAAATTTCTAGAATATTGGGTAAATATAATGATGCAATTTTAGATTTTTACCAATATTTGGAAATAAAACCAAATAATATAGCAGCTTTAACCGAACGTGGGGTTACTTATTATTGTCTACGTAAATTTTGTGAAGCATTTACAGATTTTAATGAGGCAATAAAGCTTGGACCTGATAATGCATTCATTTTACGGGGGCGTGGATCAACACTCAGAGCATTAGGTAGATATAATGAAGCGCTTTCAGATCTTAACAGGTCATTGGAAATAGAACCGGATAATGCTTGGGCGTTAAGAAGCCGTGGAATAACTTATAGACTATTAAAAAAATATAAGAAGGCGCTTTCAGATTTTAATAGTGCATTGAAAATTAAGTCAAATGATGCCTTTTCATTAAGAAATCGGGGTGTAACATATAGAATATTGAACAAATATAATGAAGCGCTCTCAGATCTTAATAGATCCTTAGAACTTAACCCGGATAACGCTTTTGCCCTAAAGAATAGGGGCATAACCTATAAAAGGTTGAACAAATACAATGAAGCAATTTTGGACCTTAAAGACTTATTAAAACTCCAGCCAAATAATGCCTCGGCACTAAAATTATATCAAAAAATTTGTATTGAATACGATAAAGTACTTTCAGATCCTAATAAACGAGACCATGAGAAGATATATATTGACACATTAAATAATCTTGGTGAATTTTTTAAAAATTCGGGCAATTATCATAAAGCACTTTCATATTTTAATAGATCGCTGGAAATTGAATCGAATAATGCTTGTGTATTAGCAAATCGAGGAGAAACTTACATGTTTTTGGGTAAATGTCATGAAGCAATTTCAGACCTCAATAATTCATTAAAAATCAACCCTAAAAATTCTACTGCATTAAGTACCCGAGCAATAATTTATCATCGGTTGAATGAAAATCAGAAAGCGCTTACTTATTTCAATAAATCATTAGAAATTGAACCAGATAATACTTGGACATTAATTAATCGTGGAATGACTTATTCATCGCTAGAAAAATACAATGAGGCACTTTCTGATTTTAATAAATTTTTTGAAGTTAACCCTACTGCAATTTACAATCACGGAATAACATATAAAGAATTGAATATTTCTGCATTAAGATATCGTGGGGAAGCTTATTATCATTTAGGGAAATATAATGAAGCGATTTTAGATTTAAGTCGTGCATTAGAAATCAGTCCAAACGATGCTCTTGTACTAAAAATACGTGGGATGTCATATTCTTCGTTAAATAAATATGATAATGCAATTTCAGATTTTAACAGGTCATTAGAAATCGAACCTTGTGATTCCTGGACGTTAGGTTATCGTGGAGCAGTATATTCGATTTTGAAAAAATATAATAATGCAATCTCAGACTTTAACAAATCTCTAGAAATTGAACCAAATTGTGCAAAATGGTTAAATAATCGTGGATCGACATATAGACTGTTAAATGAATTTGATAAAGCGCTTTTAGATTTCGACAGATCACTTGAGATTGAGCCCAACAATGCTATCACACTACATAATCGTGGAATAACTTATGTAAAAATGGGTAAATTTAATAAAGGGCTTTCGGATATAAAAAGATCAAAGACAATCGGATATGATCATCTAGCGTCTGAAAATTTCGTAGACAACGTTTTTACGTTAATAAATCGTGGAATTACTTATAACATGATAGGTAAATATGATGAGGCACTTTTAGATTTTAATAGATCACTTGAAATTGAACCGAATAATGATCAGGCATTAAGAAGTCGCGGAAAAACTTACGTATCATTGAAAAAATATCAGGAAGCACTTTTAGACTTTAATAAATTACTAGAATTAAAGCCGGATGATACTGATATATTAACCAGTCGTGGAATAGTCTATATGGAAATGGACAAATATGTCGAAGCAATTTCAGATTTTAATATATTATTAGAAATAGAACCAGATAACACCGATATATTAACCAGTCGTGGGATAAGCTATTTAGAGATAGATAAATATATTGAAGCAATTTTAGATTTCAATAAATTACTGGAAATAAAGCCGGATATCACTAATATATTAATTTCTCGTGCCGTAACCTATGCATATGTGGGCAATTGTAACGAATCAATAATTGAATTAAATAGATTGTTGGAAGTAATTCCTCATAATACATTTGCATTAAAATTTCGTGGTAAACTATACTTTATTTTAAATAATTATAATGCAGCGCTTTCGGATTTTAATAGAATACTAAAAATAAAACCTGATAATGCTTATGCATTAACATTCCGTGGAGCAATCTATATAAACTTAGGTGAATATGAAGAAGCTCTTTTAAATCTAAATAAGTCACTGAAAATAAATCCGGATAATGCTGATGCATTAGTCTTTCGTGGACTAACATATATAAATTTGAATAAATATGCTGAAGCACTTTTTGATCTCAATATATCTCTTAAAGTAAAATATTTTAATAAGGTCACCTTGTTTAATCGTGGAAATGCTTATTACATATTGAATAAATATGATGAAGCACTCTCAGACTTCAACAAATTCTTAGAAATCATGCCAGAAAATTTAGAAGCACTAATCAAACGTGCAAAAATTTATCAATCATTGAGAAAGTATGATGAGGCGATTTTAGATTTTAACAAATATTTAGAGATTAAACCGGACAATTTAAATGCATTAAGTGAACGTGGAGCAATTTACGTAATATTACATAAATATGATTATGCAATAGAGGATTTCAATAAATTACTGAATGTAGATCCAAATAATGTACATGGATTAATACGTCGCGGGGAAGCTTATAAAATGTCAGATAATTATGAAAAAGCACTTTCTGATTTTAACAAATCATTAGAATTAGAACCGGATAATTTAAATGCATTAGTTGATCGTGGAGAGACTTACATACTTCTAAATGAAGTTGGCAAGGCGCAATCAGATTTTTGCAGATATCTGGAATTAGCACCAAAAGATGTTTCTTGGGATCCTTGGGAACTATTTTATCGTGCAGAAATATACTATAAAATGAATAGATTTAAAGAGGCACTTCCATATTATAATAATCTATTGGTATTGGAGCCAAATAATTTTTTTGTGTTGGTTCGCCGTTCTAAAATAAATATATTTTTTGACAAATATTTTGAGGCACTTATAGATATAAATAAATCACTAGAATTAAAGCCAAACAATGTAGAAGCATTAGAGTTACGTATGACATGCTATAAGCTATTAGGTGAAATTGATAAGGCATCTTTAGACGCTAATATATTATTGAAAATAAATCCAAATTGTCCTGTTGCATTACATGCTCGGGGAGGTATAAATAAATTGAAGGGTAAATATGATGATGCATATTTAGACTTTAAAAAATCACTGGATATAATGCCCGATTTTGGCGATGCTAAATTGAATTGTGCATTAGTTAAAAGGAACATAGACGGTCATATTGAGTCTATGGGTAATATACCGTTCATATCTTATAATGAAATTCGCGATATTAGACCTTTGAATGGAGATGGGGGGTTTGGCGAAATTTTTCAAGCAACTTGGGTGAATTATTTAGGAGAGGAAAAAAAAGTAGCTCTCAAATATTTAAGAACTTCAAAAGGTTATTCTATAAATATTATTAATGAGGTAAGTACATAAATCTTTCAAATGATTCATTTTGTCCTTTTCTATTTAATTTAATTTAAATTTTTTTTTTCTACAATTAAATAAATTAAATAGGCAATTCCATTTGAAATCACACGTTCGGATGATTATATTTTAGATTATTATGGCCTTACGAAACATTTGGAATCGCATAAAATTTATTTAGTAATGGAGTATGCAGAAGGTGGCAGCCTATTTGATAGCTTGTCAAAAAGTTATAAAGATATTTCGTGGCAAAAAAGACTCGACCGATTACAATCAATTATAATAGGGTATATATTTAGTAATTTTTTTACCGATTTAACAGATAATATTAGTTAACATTATTCAATTTTGCATAGATTGGAACAGATTCATGAACATAAATTAATACATCGTGATTTGCATTCAAAAAATATTCTAATTTGCAAAAATGGAGGTCAAGAACTGACTAAAATTGGAGATTTGGGATTGACAAGATTAATTGATGACGTACCAATATCGGAAAATAAAATTTATGGTGTAATGCCTTATTTAGACCCACAATTATTGGCTGAAAAGCATGAAAAGAAATACACTCAAAAATCTGATGTATATAGTTTTGGTGTTATTATGGCAGAAATGTCAAATGGACAAAGGGCTTTCGATAATTACAAATCTTGTTCTGAGTCTGAACTTGCATTAAAAATCTATCTTGAAGGGATGCGACCAAAATTCGCTGATGGAACTCCAAAGTGCTATATTGAATTGGCTAAACAATGCATGGATTTAAATCCTCAGAATAGACCCACTGCCAAAGATATCCGTTTAAAAATTGATCAATGGTGCGAAAGTATGAAATCTAAAAAAAATAACGATGTAAAAAAGGTGTTTCATAATGCTGACAAGAAAATAATTGAATCCGAACATTCAAATAAAAATGATGATAATACTCAAATTTTACGAGATTCCTGGGATTTCTCAAACCTTTCCGAAATTCTAATGCCAGATACTTTACCTAAACATTCATATGAAAATGATAATTATATTTTGAGAGATTCCTCACACCTTTTCGAAATTTTAAAGCTAGATACTTTGCTTGAACATTCAAATGAAAAATGATGATCCAATTTTATAGAATTCCTATGCCTTTTCAAAATTTTAATGCAAGAATTAATTGATAATAATGAAATTTTAAAAATATTCTAGTGTGGCCCTCCCATGTTGATAATTCAGTATGTTGTGAAAATCAAAGCTATATTAAACTACCATAAATAATCTACTCGACGTAGTTCTAAACACAGCTTAATTACAGCTTGAAAATTTTATTTAGAATTCTTGAAATATATTTAAATTTTTATTTATAGTTTAAAAGCAATAAAAACTAACTTATAACTTTGAAATGTAATGAAGCCTATTGTTTTTATTTTTTTTTAAATTTCTTTTATGTTTCTTTCATGTTATGCTATGGTATTTAATTGAAAACGCTATCAATTGAAAAATATCTATAATTAAAGTATTGAATTAATTTTTTTAAATAAACATCTCAAAGTGATCTTTATTGTATTATTGTTAAAATTATTTATATATAACAAGAGTAAAGAATATTACTAAGGGAGTTTTTTATATGATGTACTGTTATATTAATGGATAAATAGTAGTCTAGTTTTAAAAAAACACTATTCTGATTATACATGAGTGCTATCAAGAAAAAACCAATATTCAGGCTTTTAATTACATTTGTGTTTAAAGCTTTGATCGAATTTATTTCAACTACTTCTACACCAAATTTGATAAATTTTTTTCATTTGAATTCTATATATCAATAGAATTCGAATAAAAAAATTTTCATCAAATTTGGTGCAGTAATTATCAAGATAGATCAAAGCTTTAAACACAAATGTAATTAAAAGCTTAAATGTAGATTTTTCCTTAACAGCATTCATATAATATGAGTGCTGCCAAGAGAAAGTAATACTTTAGACTTTTTTAAAATTTTTTTTGACCAAGGATATTTCAACAACTACTTGATCAAATTTGAGGAAATTTTTTTATTTAAATTTTACAAATTTGTAAAATTCAAATAAAAAAACTTTCATCAACTTTGATCAAGTAGTTGAGATATCTTTGATCAGAAAAATTTAAAAAAGTTTAAAGTATCTCTTTCATTTCTTTTTTTTTATTAACTAGCCTCTTTGGGCTAAGGTTTTTTTATTCAAGTATTAAGGCACAGAGCTCACTTATGGAACTCTTTATATTAGAAAGTACAACTAGCTACATGTACAACTTTTGGTTGTCTATTTAAATAGTTCATATATTGGTATTATACTATAGGTTTTATACTAGCTGGTATACCTACAATCTGACTATATAGAGAGTTATCTATTTAAACCTTCTATAATGTAACCTAACTTGTATCACTGGTATATCTTTACTACAATTATCAGTAAAAAGAAGTCTCAAATACTTTCTTAAAGCTTTTAAAACCAATTTATTCTTGAGGCATCATTGTTAAAGTTTTCTATACTTACAATCTGGCTAATCTAAACTTTTGATAACTTATGCTAAGTCTAAAAACAAGTACTTGCTAGCCAAAGTCATTATCATTATCTATTACTGTCTTTGCAAAATTTATCCAAACCTCAAGACATATTTTATAGATTATACACAGTTGCCATAACACATTTTGTAAAATTTGAATTTCATCACTAATGAGATTTGAACTCTTGTCTTACTGCTTAGGAGTGTGACAATTTACTAACTTCACTAAGTTCTTACACCTTTTATACTAAAGTTTTATTAATAAACATTATTTAAATTTTATATCAAAATATATTTTAATAAGGAAAATTCTAGGCATCTTTAGCCAGAGATATTTAGCTTATACATCTCTAACGTAAAACTACATTTGATCATATAATTTTAACTAAAGTTAGAGTTATACAAGATTAGAGCAAAGATAAGTTTTATATGTAAAATTGTATTCTTAACATTTTTAATTAGTACACCAGAATAGGTTTAGATAGACATTTTTTGTATTTTTTGACTTTTTGACTTTTTTCACTCTTTTGTTATTGTTTTTGTTTTGTCAGACTGATCTGTAATGATTGTTCTTCATGTTATCATTGTGCTATATGAAAATGACAACCAATAATTTATTTGCATTTTAATTGGCTATTAAGCCTGAAATATTATCGTTAGGTATCTCTAGCTAAAGATGTCTAGAAGAACCCTTTTAATAAAATTTTAAAAAAAGTGTATAGTTACTTAGTGAAGTGGTAAAGTTGTTGCACCCCCAAGCAGTAAAGTATTAGTTCAATTTCCACAAAAGGTGAAAAATTAGATTTTAAAAAAATGAATTCGGCAACTTTTGTTGTAGTTAGAAAAACTTGAGACCCTGTAACTGTAGTTGTATCAAAATAAAAATTAGAAGGTTTTGGAGCATTTGTATAATAAAGAAGTTATACAAAGACACACAAGCTAGTTTAGTTAGTACAAAACCCAAGATAAGTCTTTTGGAATCACAGAAAGCCACAGGATCAATATAGTAGTGGAGTGCTTGCTTGGAAAGTTCTGAATAAAGAGGTAGCACAGATTTTTGACAGTACTATATGCAGATTAATGCTTGGAGAACCGGATAAACTAAATGAAACCAAAGTATTCAGCAAGGCACTTTACCAACCAGATTATTGAAGGAGTAACCAGAAGAAAAAACCCAATTATGGAGACTAGAGCAGGTCATAGCTCTTCCAGGCCATCTAAATTAGTAGTTTAGAATAGCTGAGATACTGATAATAGTCTGTAGATATATCAGAGTTTGTGTGAACTCTATAAGGGTGGTAGTAGATAACTATAGCAGCCTCAGCTCACAAATACTTGTCTTTGGACTCAGTATAAGTTACTAAAAAAGACTAGACAATATAGTACCAAACTGCTTTAGCAAGTAATATACTTGAGGATAAATCAGTTAACTATACTAATAGTTATATAGGTGAATGCAATGATCTTAGAACTTGGACTAACTAATATATTATATGTTCTGAGTGAGATTAGATGAATTGACATAAGAAACTTAGATTAGAGGGTTTAATTGGATAATACAAGTAATAGTAGGTTATAGATATAGCATCTAGTGTAGTGCCTAGTAATAGATAGATACTTAATTAGGTACCCAAAAGGTGCAGATATAGCTAAAATATACTCTCATAAAAATGTACTTGTCTAAAGCCTCTTGAAAAGGGCACCACATGATTCTACAATCTAATAAAAGCAATAAGCTGAAGAGGCTAATCTTGATTAAAAAAAAAAATTTAAAAAAATTTATTATATAGTTAAGATTAAATAATTTTTTTAGTTTGTACTAAATTTAGTACAAAATCTAAATAGATAACTATTAAAATAACTAATTGATTAACTATTATTGGCCGGTGCAAAAAGATTTGCACCTTAAAAAGATGGCTATAAAAAATTTTTTTATTATATAAAAAAAAAAAATTTTTTTTTTAAATCGTAACAGTACAGATTCGGAAATATAAAAAAAAATTTTAGATCCAAACTATTCGTCATCATCAGAATTGTCATAGTCATCAAAATCATCATCGACTAATTGCATATTATCATCAGACTCAAAATACCCTTTTGCATTTTTAAGTGCTTTTTACCAAAGCCCAACAATAACTTGCTTATTAATTTTTTTCCTTAAATGCTTTTAGAAGCATATTTCGAATAGATAAAAGGTTTGGATGTGGACTCGTATTTGCAACTTCACCTTTTACAACTGACCAAACACCTTCAATTGGCTGAAGTTCGCAATAGTAGGGAGGGGTAAACAAAACCTTATGCTGATATTGTCTTGCTATTTCGACACAAGAAAATGGCACCTTTTCTTTGTTTAATTGAATGAGTTCCAAAAGCTCTGGTCTTCGTGATTCATCAGGAAAAGGAATATCATAAGAAATTAGCCAGTCAATTATTTCTTGCTTCTTGGTGTTTGATATCCCTTAGATTGTAGTAGAACGCAGGCAAATTTGCCTGCGTTTTTGCACTTTTTTAGCTCTGATTTATTTTTTAAAAAAA